CAAACCCCCCCCCCCCCCCCCCCTTCACATTTATCTACTTCTATTCCAGACTGGTATCATATTTATAAAAATAATTCTGGTTGGGAGTTCAACCCCTTCTTTTTAATCCACATCTATTCAAGCCTGGTATGATATTTATAAAAAATAACTCTGGCTTAAGAGTTTAATCCCCTTCACTTTCATCCACTTGTCTTCCAGACTGATATGGTGTAGTATACAATATCAACAGTGTTCTGGTATGGGAGTGCAAGGCCTGTGGCAGTTACTACAGACTGCAGGGAGACCTGTGACACTAGAGTCTCTGGAGGGACAGGTCCTAGCAGTGGGTATCCTTGAAAATTAACACAGGGATATATGGTGATACTTTAAGTTATAAAACTTTGCATAGGTTAATTAACTGATATCTCATTTATGATTGTGAACAAACAGAAATTTTGAAAGTTGTTCAGTATTTGGTATACATGAGAACGTTGATCCTGAATATCTAAAGCAGATGTCATTTTTGTACTTATTTATATTCTTTTCTGCACATTTTGTTTTATCTGTAATTTAATTAATGAATGTATTGATAGATTTATCTTCTGCAGCAGTATGACCAGACTACCCAATTTTTTATTTTAAATCCACAAGTCCTAACAACAACAACAACATCAATAATAATAATAATAATAATAATAGATATTAAACATGTTCCATAGGCTAAGTAATAAAGTTAAAGTAACAATTATCATGATCATTATGATAATTGTATAAAAAGCAATAGTAGCAGTACCATTAGGTGCCTTGACTGCAGTCCACAGATGTGAGTATTTGGTTAAACCAGAGTGTGAAGGGGATGAGGGACAAACATGGCAGTCCTCTCCCTAACGCCCACCTCATCACGCTCTTCAACAGGATCTGTAAGCTGCTCTACTACAGGATAAAGCCTGTCTTTGTGTTTGATGGGGGTGTGCCTGCCCTGAAGAAGCAAACCCTGGTAAGTGATATATATATATGAATTCTGAAATTTATCCTGAATGGTAAAAAAGTGAAATAAATAAAAGCCTATTCAGCCATTGTATATTATGTAATTTGAAATACATAAAACAGAAGTGCCACTTATCTTATGAGTTGAAGTAACTGTCAGATTTATATTTTCTTTATAGAATGTGACCTTTAAATGACATGACTTGAGATGTTTGAAATATTAAAAATTGAAAAAAAAAAAAAAATCAAAATTTTATCCCCAGGCTGCCAGGAGACAAAGAAAAGAACAGGCAGAAAAAGAAACTGGGAAAACATCACAAAAAATCCTCACAAATTTCCTGAAGAGACAAGCAGTTCAGGCAGCTATAGGGAAGGGAGGAGAGAAAGCCACTGTGCCAGAAATCCCTGCTAAGCCTTCCACTTCAAAAGAAGCTGACATGTACCAATTGCCACCTTTACCTGAACAAGACAGGTAGATTTTTATGGACCCATCAAGCAAAATTGGCCCAATACTAATTTCAAGTTAATTTTCTCAGGCTAAATAATGTGTGTGAAGTGAATTTTTGCTGATTTAACATAATATTGTTACATTTAGTGATATATTACCCCCCATGTTTTTTACATTATTTTGACATGTGTTTTAGTTCAGAAGCAGTAGAAGAAGAAGAACCTGATCCATGGGAAGAAAGGATGCTTCAGAGGGACATAATAATGGTGAGTGCCTACCTCTGAGGCCGTATTCACAACTAAAGTTGATCCATGAACTAACTGATCCAAGGACCAAATATGGCTGACACACTTGAAAGTAGTCGCATAATCCCCTTATAGGCAGTAAATAGATTCCCCGTGAATATTGAGAGGTAACCTTTGAAGCGAGTCTGCCATATTTGATTCCTGGATCCACAGATCAACTTTGGTTGTAAATGAGTAACAAAATAAAGATGATCAGTGCCTTCCTTTATAAATTTGAAGTCTTGTTTCTGTTAAGTTCAGGCTATATTGTTAATAGCAGTTGTGAAATCTGCTGGATTGAAGATCAGTTATCATCTGCATTTTTTAATTAATATTCATCATTACAGAGTGAATATCAAGACTTTGGTAATGTTGACATTGACAGTGAGGAGTTCAGAAGTTTTCCTCCTGAAGTCCAACACGAGATACTGACAGAGATTAAAGAGACTAAGAAAAGAGTGGGTTGGTCACAGTTTGATGAATTACCACAGGTAAGTAGTGGAAGTCTGTGAAAAAAAGTTTTTAGTCTGTTTCCCTAAAGAGGCCCACAGTTTGATGAACTATTAAAAGTTTTTGAAAAGTTTCTCATTCCGATTCTGAGTTCTCATAACAATATTATATTATTGTAAGTGTCCTGATTGTACCTGGAAAGTAATATCAGTTTGTATTATTATAAATTGTAAATTTTGTTATGTCTCTGTCTAATTATTTAGATGCTTGTAGTCACATTCCATGGCAGTCAGACATCAGAAAATGTCAGATTGACATCGGAATATATCTGTATCTCACAAATGTAATTAGTTTCTGACAGAAGAAAATTTGTGATATATCGTCAACAATCAGATGAACTTATTTCAACTTTGTACAGTGTCAACCATACATTTCTCTTTTTGCATAACGCTTAGGACTCTGATCAGTTCTCTGGCTTCCAAATCGCTAAAATTGTCCGTCAGAACAAGCTGTCACAACGCATCGAAGATGTCCGCAAAGAAATGAACCATCAGGCACTGGGCAGTATGGGTCCCAGCCTGACCCAAGGTCACCCTGTGACCCAAATCACCTCACATCGCATTGTATCCGAGGACACGTCTCATGCCATTCTCATTAAAGGATTATCAAATCAGAAACCATCTGCTGAGACTGCTGGGACTTCTTCTTCCAATATGGCGGATGTTTACAGTGTCGATGACTTTGGTACTCTATCAGATGAGTCCGATTTCGAGGAAGAACCTTTAATGCTCCAGCTGAAAAAGAAAACTGAAATTTTGGGCAAAACTGAGCAGAAAGTTTCACTGATTGATTTAACAAAGAAAGTAGAAACCAAAGAGGAGTGCATTGTGATTGATGATGAGGGAGACATGCCAATTCCTTATAATACTGGCTCAGGGAGAAGGACTGCAGAAAAAAACTCTACAGTGGAAGCAATTCAGTCCTCTGCTTTGGTGGATCTCACATCAAGCACTTCTCTTTCAGACAGCACACTTTCCAATAAAAACACCAGGAATAATGATCTTTTTCTGGACCAAAGTGAAGCAAATGAAACAGAATCTATCAGCATAAATGAACCAGTAAAACAAAGTAACAATATGACAGTAGATAATAACCTATCAGAAAAACATGTGAAAGTTAAAGATGGAAAAGAACAATCTGAAAGGGAGATCATTGGGCCAGTTCACAAAACCAGAAACGACTCTGTTGAGTCAGACTGTGTTGATTTAACTGTGAACAATAGTAATGCTGATGAAAATGGTGGTAATAGAATTTTGGAGAAACATCATGAGGTGTCTACACGTGTGAAATCTACTTGTGATTCTGAGAAAAGAGTTACTGTTACAGCACAGGGAGAAGCAGTTTTTAGGACTGAAGAGGGAGGGTTTATTTTGGTTGATGAAGAAAAGGAAGACAAGAAAAGTAAAGGTGCTCATTTCCAAGATACCATAGTTCAGTCACAGACTGTATTCCCTGATCAATTAGTTAATGAATATGACAACAAAGGTGAAGCCTCAAAGACCTTGGCTCATAATTCAGAACTCAATCAAAAGGTCCAGTTTAAGGATCAGCCTGTCTTGGATAACACCCCTGGTGCCAGTTTCACTGGTCCCAGTACTGGGACAAGGACTGTGCCAAATTCAACAATAAATGCCACAGAGTCTGGAAAATCAATAAATGGCGTCTCCTCTGAAGTGATTACAGAAGCCTCTGAAGATAATGACACCTCTGCTGATGCCAAATTTAAAACTGAAAAGAAAAGAAAACATGATAATGGCGATGGTGATGCTCCCATTTCAAGCATGCCAGAAAAGAAGATGAAAGTTGAAAGCTGTCTGTCAGGTACAGTGGAATTACATACCTGGGTTTACTAGCACTATAAATTTTACCCATATGCTGAACATTTTCCGATTTTTCATGAGCAAAGGTATATTGGTGAAAAAAGATAAATTGTTAATTTTGAGGTGTTTATGAATTCCAAGAGACTTTTAAATGTGCCTTCAGTGCAAGATTGAAATGTTGATGCACATGAGCTATATCCGTTTTATTTTAATGAACTGATTTTTATTTTGTTTTTATTCAAAGATGACAAGATAGATACAATAGCAATAACAATTGACCCCAGTGCAGCGCCCCCTGGTGAGGATGACCTGTTTCCTGCGAGTATATTTACAGCAGTAAAGACACCAGCACCAACATTTCAATCAACTGAAAGGGAAGTAGAAGACTGGAAAATAAGGGAAGAGCACTTAGATAGGGTGAATGCAAATCGGGCCTCTCAATTTTCGCAGGTATTGGTAAAGGCAGTTAAAAGGAAAAAAACTGGAGCTAAGCATTAGTCCATATTTTTAGAGCAAGAAAAGGACTGGAATATGTTTATAATGTATTATATAAGAAATCATTATATTGGCATGATATATATCGGTGCTTTTATAATGCAAATACTGAGTTTTACTCATAATAAAAATGATAACAATTTTAGGTATTATTATTATAATTATTTTATTATTTTTTTATTAATGGATAGGCTGAGTTGGAAGATTTGGACCAAGAGCTTATATTTGAAGAGAGAAATCTGAGGAAGACCAAAGGACAGCAGGAGAGACTGGCAGCCACAGTGACAGAGAAGATGCAGGCAGAGGCACAGGTGATTGTTGGCTACTTAGATGATCACTAGTGTGCGTGAGAGAGAGAGAGAGAGAGAGAGAGAGAGAGAGAGAAAGATCTTGAAAGATAAGAGGAAAAGCAAGAGAGATTGGCAGCACATGAATACATAGAAGTAGTTGTGTTAGTTGCTTGGTGGAATAGGAAATTAATTCTCAAAACAAAGTTAAACTTTTCTGAATCAAGTTTCAATGCACCATGAGCAAAATTGGGAGCCAGCAATTAACAGAAATGCCATGACTGAAATTTAGAATTTTCTACAAATACAGAATTATTTCCCCAAGTACTAACTTCATTTCTATTGTCATTTATTTGGTATATATTTTATTACAGGAACTGCTTCAGCTATTCGGGATCCCCTATGTAGTAAGAACTGTGGAGGCAGAAATGACGTAACTGAAATTTAAATGTTCCATGAATACAGAGTTATTTTCCACATAACTTTACTCTTTAATTATATTAATTTAGTAATTGTTTTATTACAGGAACTCCTTCAGCTATTCGGGATCCCCTATGTAGTAAGCCCCATGGAGGCCGAAGCCCAGTGCGCCCAGCTTGACCAGCTAAACTTGACCAGCGGGTCCATCACGGACGACAGTGACATCTGGCTGTTTGGTGGACGCAGTGTCTACAAGAACTTCTTCAACCAGAACAAGCATGTTGAGAGATATAAGATTGAGGATATAGAAAAACATGTTGGTAAGACTTATACGGGGTGTGAAAGAACCTTATGCTAGAACAAAAGGACAAAAAAAGAATTAAGATGATAATAAGGGGTGTCTTATGAAGTTTTATTTATAATTTATGTTTTTAAAATAATTATAGATGCTCTATAAACATTGTATTCAACTAAACTTGAGGATAAATTTGAATTTGATTTTTAAAGGAGTAAAGGATTTATAACATATTTCTAAGCCAATTCAGATTATATTACATTTACCACTTATGGCCCAGTCACAATGTCGGTGATCAGTCGGGGATTAGTTTTGGCCGGGGGTCGTCGTAGAAAATAAAGAATCCTTGAACAATCCAAGCAATAATCCTAATTAAAGTAGAGCAGTTACATTGTCTGAGATTTTTTCAAGGATTTTGACCCGGTTTTGTCGAAAAACTTGGGATTAGCCTCCGATCGCCTCTGATTGCATCGGAGGCAATCGGAGACGATATCTGCGAGCGTCTTTTCTTGTAATTTTTTTCCCCTTGGGTATATGTGGGGGAAAAGGAAAAGGAAAAGTCTCAGATTATTTGGAGGACGCCTCCGATTAATCGGAGAGCATCGTAGGTCATCGGAGATTATGTCTGGGATGCCCAAAATGGGTGAAAAATCTTGCGAGCAAACTTAAAATTTTAAGTTCAAAGTTGGGGACCGCGACAGGTGTGGCGATGTCTAAAAAATCTGCGACAACCTGCAGGCGTCCGGAGAGCACCTCTGACGGGTGCAAAATCGTGAGATCTGTCTCAAGATTTTGTTCAAATTTCCCGAGTAATACCCATCCCCGACGCATCGCAACTGATTTGTGACTGGCCACTTAGCTGAAATACACCACAATAGAATGAACTTACTGAAATCTTTCACAATGATCTTAGGTCTGGATCGTAGGCGGTGTATCTGTGTGGCGCTGGTATGTGGCAGTGATTACACCGAAGGCCTACAGGGGGCAGGACCTGTCACTGCCATGGAGATCCTGAGTGAATTTCCTGGAGAAGATGTGGATGCTTTGGTTGCCTTCAGGTGATTGATTTTATGTAGATTTTATTATTCAGTGAATCAATCATCACACAGTCTCATTACCAAAGTTGGCCAAACTGAGGGCTTAAACTGAAGAAAACTAAGTATAGATAGTTTGTTATCTTTTCAAAAAGATAAATTAACAAATTCAACATAATAAATTAATGAAAAATCAATATAAATAAATGAGTGAGCAAGTAAATAAAAAATTTATAGATACACTAATGATATGAATAAGATTTGGAATAAAAATTATAAAAAAATTAAAAATCACGATGAGAAATATATTTGATGGGAGTTGATTGGAAGCTGGTGTGTTTTTTCTAATTGAAACCCTCTTTTTAATTGTTTTGAAATGTTTAGGGAGTGGTGGCAGGCGGTACAAAATCGGCCAAAACCTTCAGCTGGTGAAAGTAAGACAAAAAGCAAGCTAAAGAAACTGCAAATTAGAGCAGGTAAAAGAAATATAGTTATACCTTATTGTTTCCTTCTTGAATTATATTGTTTGATGAGTCTGGGTAACTGATAGCTAAATTTTCTGCATACCAACCATACACGAATACCAATTACTGCACTTGTATACCAGCCATACTTGTATACCAGCCATACTTGTATACCAGCCGTACTTGTATACCAACCGTACTTGTATACCAACCGTACTTGTATACCAGCCATACTTGCAAACACATGCATGCACATAAACAGGTAAACAGAGACACTGGCATCCATTCTCTCTCTCTCTCTCTCTCTCTCTCTACACACACTCACAGAGATAGGGCACTATTTCTAGCTCTATTTCTCTTTCATACACTCACACATGCACCTCTCTCACAAAAAAAGAAAAGAAAAACAGTGGCACATTTAAACAGGTATTTAGGTTCACTATCTCTGATCAGAAAACATGTTTGTCAACCTCCAGGTTTCCCCAGTTCCACCGTGATCGAGGCTTACCTTCAGCCCACAGTAGAGGATTCCAGAGAACGCTTCAGTTGGGGACGACCTGACCTTGACCTACTTAGAGAATATCCTTTTGCTTCGATATGCAATAATGTTTTTAAATTAGTAATTATTGATAGCAAAAGGTGTTTTTATTTCTTTCTTTCTTTCTTTCTTTCAAATTGCCTGCTTACCTGGTAAAAATAATCAAATTTGTGAAAAATTTTTTTTACCAATATTGCCCTTGTGTGTAATTAGGTCATGTTTTTAGTCAAGTAAGGCCAACCGTACTTTCTCCTAATAGGACCCATCTTAGTAGACTGGCTGATAATGATTAGCTCACAGAAACCATCAATTCCAAGTTTTTTTTCTTTTTCTTTCTCTTGTTTAATCTGTCTATCATTGCTTTTGAGTGCAATAAAATTACTTTTCTTTGTTGGGTTAATCAGTATGAAAATGAATATAAAATAAATAAAATAAGTATGGTATGTACTGCTGATATTTACAGCTGGACATAGGAGGATACTGTTTAATATGTTAAAATCTTTGACCGAGTGTGCCACATTTGGGTCCGAGAGGTGTGGCTGGACCAGAAAGAAGGTGGATGAAATGCTGCTCCCTGTGATGAAACAATTAAATAACACCACTGTGAGTAAAGACTCTCTACTGTTTTAAAACTTAATTGGTGTCATCACATTCACAAAAAAAATCTTCAAAGGTTTCATTTTCAAATTTATTTTATTAACTGAAAATTTGTTTATGGTTGAAAATGTCAGTAGTCTTAATTTTGATTGCACTCTTTTTACTAAGCTTTTATACCTTCATTTTACTTCATATTTTACAATTTAAAAAAAAATTCTAGTTATATTTATTTCCTGACTGAATCTCTTAAAAAGTTCTCCTTCAAGCAGCTTTCTGATTAAATATGAATATCATGGTGCTTACAAAAATTATTTAAATTGAATTATGTTTTCATTCAGAGCCAAAACAGGCTGGATAAATACTTCACTGTGGATTTGTCTGAGAAGAGGACTGTAAAGAGCAAAAGATTAGCCAGGGCCATTGACTTGTTTCACAACCCCTCACAAGCAGACAAGGAAGATAAATCAGGCAAAAGCAATGGAAAGACCAAAGGCAAGAAGAAAATGAAGAATGAAAGTAGGTCAAGGTCTGAGAAAGGTCAAAGAACTTCTACAGGTCAGAGTTCTAAATCTAAGGGAGTGAAAGAATCCCCAGAACATGAACTTAATTTTTCAGAGCCGAGTTCGGAAGAGGATGAGGAGGACAAAGCAAAATTGACCGCAAAAAACAGAAAAATTGACAACAAACAAATTCAAGCCAAGGAAAAGGGACAGAATGTGCAATCTACAAGCAGTGTCAAAGGTAGCAGTAGTAGTAGTACTGTATTACCTCAGAAAAAGTCCAAAGGTAAAAGTGACAGTATGACGAAAAGTAAGAAAACATCCAATAAATCCTGCAAAAAGCAGACAAACAAAAGTCTTGTTCCATCACTGGAAAGGAGAACCGGCCCTTCTAGAACCTCTAAAGCTAAGGCCACTGGAAGGATTGAATCTCTGCAGTTGTCAGAGTCTGATAGTTCTCAATCAGATTGATTTTTTACCCTCAGTAAATTTGAATTTTGTTGTTACAGATTAAGGTAAATGATTTTTCCCAATGGAAATTCTTTATGGGAATCAATAAAGCAATAAAACATGACAAATAATAGTTATTATGATAAAATATGTAAAAGACAAATGGGTTTGTAAGTGATTTATAGCATGAGCTTCAGTATATTATGTTTTGTATTTTTCTGATAGCTGGGAAATTAACTGTGGCCAGTACTGTATATGACATATTTGAGTAAGTGTTGTTGCATGAATTTCGGTCCATGATGTAGTGTATGATATACCTTGCATTTTTCCTTGTAATGACAGTAATGTGTTTTTGAATCATTAATATTTTTCAACTGTCAATCATTATGTAGAGGATAGCTTGTGTGGCAGCCGGGTCCGACAAGACAATATTGTAAAATTATTTATTTAAAAAGATTGCTTCAAAATCGAATTGAAATTTATTTATTAAGACAAGTTGGTATATTTTACAAACTTTGTGATTTGAACTGGTGGTCTTTCTCATATTTTTATTATTCCATATGCTATATTGTATCCCTTTATGTTGAAAGAATATTTACAACTGTTGCATAAATTATTTTGAAATTTACATATGATTGTGTCAGTGTTTTATTATGTCTATAATTGTAAAATTATCATTATTATAAATTTATAATTAGGAATTTAAAAATCACATTTCTTGTCATTGCCACACTTTTTGAAATTAGACATTGTTTATTAATTTTCATATTTTTGTAATACACAAACACATTAGAAATACTTTTATTTTCATAAGTGTCTTCACCATGCTTAAGGTTAACAATCTCTAGAGCACTGTGCTAAAAACACTAAACCACTGGTCTTTGATGTGTTACCAGAAAGAAAACGGAAACAAAGTTTTTAATTGTTTGCATTTTCACCAGATCCTAAAGAAAAAAAAAAAAAAAAGAAAAAAACTTTCTTTTAATTGAAGAATAATGTAAAGTCACAGTTGGGCCACATATTACATACCATTTGGTTGTGTAATATTCATTTTCTTCTGACCTGTTAAATCACTGCCTTGGGCCAGTGGTTTCTTATGCAGTCACGTACCTTGCCTGCCTAAACTAATATTTAAAACTATCTGGCTTTACCACAAAGACAGCTACAAGTTAAGTAATACCTATATTTTAAAATAACTTGTTCATGATACATTACACGGTGAATTAAAACGTGGCAAATGCGGTAGAGTAGTGGTCAATGGACCGAGAAAATGACCAATTGACCATGACAGTCACTCTGACTACGGGATATTTCTTTGCCCCAGGCTACTGTTACAGTAATACTTATAACTTTGTAGTTCTATTGAAATTTGAAGGGTCTCATACAAACTGAAATGCATAACTGAAAGGCTAACAGAGATTATTTGCGTAGGCATGTGAAAAAATGTTGAACAGTAATTTTTGGCTTAATATAGCTATGTATTTTCATGATTATTTGGACTAAAACCTCACTCTAAATGTACCAACATGTATCCTTGTGCCTACCTGATTCTAAGAGGTATTCTTATAACAAGTGGGGACTTTCTTTATGGAGTCACAGAATTCTGAGATTGTAAATTCAAATCCGACAGATGCCGAGATTCATCAACTTGAAGATGTAATGTGTGGTCCAATGCCAAATTTGTACAGATTTTGTAGTATGTGCTTATTTATTTCCTTAGTCTACTAAAAGGTTGTGATAAGTTATAAAAGTTCCATGTTTTGTTTGAGATCTTAATAAAAACTACTGAAACAGACTTCTTATACACTTGTGGGTTTTGCATGCTGAGCATGGATGTGTATTTACAATAATAATATTTATTTTTGATGGACCCGTCCTGTACAGTTATTTGACTCCCAGACATTTGATCTCATTTGGTTTTCATTCTATGCCTGATTTGCTGACCAGTGGGCAGTTTATTTAATTGAAGAATAATATTATACCTAAACAAAATGCTTTCTTCTTTGCCTATATACGTATTCATGCTGCAGATTGTGCTGTGTTAATGAATGTTTTAAATTTTAATAGGATTCTGAAATTATGAAATTGAGAATATTAAGAAATGCAGAGAAATGCATCTTAAGTTTGGAATGTTTAGTGAAACTTTATTTTGAAAAGACATTTCTGTTTATAGACATTGGTTTCAATGTCATATGGCTTGAATTATGTACATATGAATAATCACTGACAGATGTAAGATTTTGGTAGGTGGGAGGTCACAATGATATACAAAAATATAACATTTTTGGAAGAAAACAATTTTACAATTATGTAGGGCATGTTGATAAAAACGCCTGGTTTTGTCTTGTTTTGATTACGAATTGTACTTTTTTTTTTTTTGAGGGTGGGGAAGGGGTCCTCTGAAACTGAAGAGGGTGGCATGTGCCACTCAGCTGATGAGTTTCACATTGGTAAGTATTTTATAGATGTTTTGTTAATTCAGCTCTCCTGTCAACAGCAGAAATATTTCTACACCTGTTTATAATTGATCACTGACCAAATACAAAGAGCTTCGTAGTGAAAAACACATTTAGGGGATGATTTAATCCCTAGATACCAGATCAAATTTAATGGTATCACAATTTACCCAATTTGGTGAATTTAAAGATTGATCTAAAGCTGATTCAGTTACCATAAAATATGATGCAAATTATTATTGTCAGGAAAGGAGCAGCACCTATTAAATTTATGAATGATGAGTTTTTCATGTTGGGCGTCACTTCTCCACTGGAGAGAAATGTAACAAGTGACTGTTTAAGAATTAAATGCTTTTTCTTCTTGAATGTTATTCTTGAATTGTGACATTTGTGAAAAGCATGTCAATAGAAGTGTGTCTCTTTCACACTGACCACGCAAGCATATCCCTAGCAGCACGTAATTGAAAAGTATGACTCCGTTTCATGCTTTAACGACTCTCTTTCATAACAGCAATAATAAACCCTGGCGATTTGTATACAAATATTATATGTGTAATTGCTATTCACAGCATGTTTGGTTTATGTTTCCTTTCAGCAGACGACAATGCTGGTTGCTATGGTAACTGGGATATGGACAAATGAAGAAAAGGTGGCAGTAGTGCACTTGTAGCTGTGGTCAGTAGAGTGGAATAGAACTGGTTATCCCATATCGACACACGAGGCAGACGGATCACCGGAGTAAAATATATCAACTGATTTTCTCCTATAAAAGTAAGTGACACTTGTAGTTTGCAATGGATATGGTTTTGTAATGTTTAAGTTTGAATTTTATTTTAATTTTGTGAGTTCTCAGTCCTGAAAATTTGATAATGTAAATAAGTTTTGTTACAATCTCAGGAAGATGATTATTTCAACACTGCTAGGGGTTGTAATACGTACAGCATACTGGACTTTTTGCTTGAGTAATGAAAGGTTTTTTTAAAGCTAAGTGATTCTAAACAGTGCCTAAACCCCTTTCTTATAAATAAATAAGGCTTCCATGTAAATTATAATACAAATGTGTCCACACTTAGCCATGAATGCTTGAGGGGGGGGGGGGGGGGGCATTGTGATGTGAGGTAAAGATGAGGGTGTTTCTAGATTTTTAAGAAATGTAATTAGATTCAAAATGATTTTTTAATTCTTGTTAGTTATACTTAATTTTCTAAGACTACCTGTAGTTATAAATTCACTATATATATATATATATATTGCAATAAGGAATTGAACAAGCCTGAGTATAAATGCCTAGATATTTGCAGTTCAACTCCTAAAATAACAAGCAGTGCCAATGTTCCATTCATTTACTATTTTACTTGGTGATTTTGACTTTCATGGCACATGTTATAAATAAATGAAATACCACCTAGACGGAAACTTGACACATGTAACGTCTAAACAGGAATTTGAGTGTTTGGGAGGAGGGATCAGTTCTAGGAGAAGGTTATGAATTTTTTCTTTGATATACATGTAAGTTGGGGCATTGAGGATTTTTTAATGTGGTTTTTATAGTGTGAGGATGATGTTCATTTATCACGGATTGTTAGCATTGAAATTCAAAGAAGTTTATATATTGGATAAAGTAAAGGGGGGTATGTTATTGTAAAGTGATTAGAGATTTAAAGGCTAAGAAATCTTTTTTCTTGCTGTGCATACATGTACATTGTGGGTTTATGTCTCGACTTCTTAGAAATCTGATTTGTACCATTAGGGTAGACTCCTAATTATTTTCATTTTCTTTCTGTCTTTTTAACATGGGTTTGAAAATCATAATTACATATGATCTAGCATCAAACACAAGCAGTTTGAGAAAACATATATACACAGTTTACTTAATTGTCAATGATCATTTTGTAGATAATTTTTTTTTTCATTTTTTCAAAAGAATTGTAACTCTTCATAAAGTTCTTTTTTTTTTTACATTATTAAAATTTGCAATATATTCAATTGTTACTTTGATAGAAAATATATAATATCACCGCAGTCATATAGTGTGAGTGTGAATTATATGTAGCTTATTATAGGCTATAAGTTGACTTTGGACTCTCAGCATGATTTCTGAAAGAGAAAGGGACAGAGAGAGTAAGCAGTCCATAAACTAAATTTGGCAATACTGGGGGATTTGAGTCGAATGTTTCTTTGTGTGTGTGTGTGTGTGTGTGTGTGTGTGTGTGTGTGTGTTTGATGAAAAATTTGGCTTTTGTTGAAAAAAGGAAAGGCTGGGCTGTAAGTCGCGGGCTCTGCTCTTATACATATAACTGTTGTACATGTACAGGGACGGATCCAGAGATATTTTCCGGAAGACCCAGAAGACGGCCTAAATCCGCCCCTGATGTATGCATTGAGCATAGTAGCCATTGTAAAGCTAGTGTTACAAAAACTCAGAAAAGAGAAGAGGTCATTTAGGGCATGTTTTTAGGTGAACAAGAGACAAAAACATTGATGTTTCATTTCATAAAGTGAGCAAATATTTTTGAACCTTACTCTAAGAACATAAAGGGATTGCAAAACGTATTTTGGCCTGAAGGAAAAATGATGTAGAAAGTGCCAAATAGACACCCTGAGCTTCAGAGATAACTTGACACTAACCTCTTCACTATAGCCTATCTTCATCGTGTCAACTTAGAGGTAACTTGTGAAGAGGTTAGTGTCAAGTTATCTCTGAAGCTCAGGGTGCAAATAGATGGAAACTTTTTGTTTTAACAAGACTTCTTATAACAAATTATTTTCTGACACTATTAAAACTGCAATATTTGTCTAAGTTCTGATAAAAACATTTTTCACACATAAATTGACTCAGAAAAAAAAGAAGAAAAAACTTGAGTAGAAAGACACCTCTCGTTTCAAGTCAATATTTAATTGCCCTATTTTTCTTGACTTTTACAGATGAAGACAGTTTTTATGCAGCAAATTATCTCATATATCCAGTCAACAACATGATTCGATGTGATAAAGACATTTAGGTTAAGACGCTACCATTGCTGAAAGGTCTTGAGCTTTATTTATTCATTTGTAACCAGGGACATAGACAAGATGATCTTGAGGGGTGTTTGATTTTGAAACCACCTCAGTAACTGTTAGTGCTACCGAATCTGATCTCTTCCTGTAGTTTCTCATGCAGTCCCATAAAGCTTAAGATATCAGCCTTCCATTGGTAATATTTTCATATTTTTTCTCACAAAAAAGCATCTTTAGTATTTGAAATCCCACTCAGTGAGGGTTTGATCCCCCCCCCCCCAAACTTTCAAAACTGCCTTGGAAACCGCCCGGGGTGCATATTATGCAGCATTACAAGTGATAAGTAGTTACATGATATTAAACCAATGACGGGCTTTACTATGTACAGAAACAGGTGTGTGCGTAGAGCAGCTCATTGCGGTTACGTTTGTTTTCATGTGTTACTTGCGTGATAGCAATGTTAAAAAATTTTAAGATCTATACTGATATCTTGTACTTCTAGGGTCCTTTTTACAGCAATAAAGAATTGACTGGGTTTTGGAAGTCAAAGGAAGGATTCTGTCACACATTTTCTATATGCTACATGTTGAAGGTGAGATTTTCTTTATTTATTAAATCTGTTACAGGGTAATGGCTCCATCTTTTCAATTGGGGAAAAATCAATCTTTCCTATACATAACTTTGGAATCATTAAAAAACATACTCTTTATAGCAGTATTGGTACTTTTACTATATAGAACTGAACGATTTGGTAGAGTGCCTTTCAATTTTGTTGCTACAACTTAATAGTATTGTTGTTATTTGAATAATTTATGACTTCAAAAAATACACTATATGCAAATTTCACAATTTTCCCAATTGAAAACATCCAGTCATTACTGAAGTTATAATGCCATTACCCTTCAAACTCTCTTTCTCATACTTGAATGCAATTCATGGACACAGCTAGGACTCTTCTCCTCCCTCTCCAGTAAAATCTGGCTGTTGAATTCCATTAAAGTTCTGCAGTTAAATGTCAAAGTCCATAAAGATGATGTTTTTAAAGTGTTTTTTTTTTATAAATGTGTTCACAGAGTGTTCAGACAGAGTGATTTAATACAGGAAATTTGGGTCTTAAATTCACATCATCATTGACCTGAAATTACAGGTTTAATTGAGAATCTGACTTGTTACAGTTTGTTCATCGGAAAACAAAAGTTGGACCAATTCTCAGTCTAAGATATTACTAGTCTCAATGCAGCTGTGTTGATAGAGTAATGTCAGTTGATATAGATCACAAAGAAAAAAGAGAAAGTTAAATGCCATCCATTAAATCAAGCTGAATGTCGTAACTGGGTGGGGATTATATTTCCAGATGGCAATCAAGTTGCTTTTAAAGAGCTTTTTCCACCATATCAAGATGCGTTGTTGTAAGAAACCGTTCAAGAATGACTTTATCATTAATCATTGTTCATACAATTTTCACAGTCAGGATTTGTCGTGCAGCTGTAACAGGTGCTGATACATTTGTAGCGAGCCCTTGAACAGCTTGTTGTAACGTAACTTTTGACATTGAAATATCAGTAGGAGTTAACTTACTGGTTCTGAATATATTTACTTCTTCCAGATGTTTACTGAAAAATTTAACAACTAGCAAGTTCAGATGGCCATGACAGCACCACCAGGACAAGCAGATAGAAAACAGGGATCAGGATTTGTAACTCAGCACGTAAACCACAGCATGGCCCCAAGTACTAGCAGTTCCAGACCTACTCGGGTGAGTACTCAATTCTATACAAAAGCCATACAGATTGTATAAGCAATGCCTTATTGAATATTTACAACTGACAACTGGATAATTTCACCAGCTTATCTGCATTATTAATATTAACAATATTTAATTTTATAAAGAAAATATTTTGCAAACATTAACAAAAGGCTTTACTTATTTATTTATTTATTTATTTATTTATTTATTTATTTATTTTTGCTGCTTTGGTTGCCTGTTATGTAAGATCAGTCATTATTTGTGACATGATTAATATTAATTTGTCTTGATGTAAATACTGGTATATGGTAATAAGATTTTTTTGAGTTTGCAAGATTTTGCATAATGCTTGTTTGCTATTTAAAAAGATAATAAAATTAATATGGGGTTATTGACCACCCTACTTTTCAGCTCAATGTGTTTGGTTTGATTTTTCAGTGAACCAGTGCTGCTTGCTTTGCTAAGTTTTTTCTAGGTAATTAAGTGATTAATTTATTTGTATGTAGACATTAGTAAATTTAGCTGCTTTAGCTGGTTTGGCTTCTTTAGACCTTTTTTGCAAGCTGGCACTTTGATATGCACATAGCTTATTTTTGTTTATGTATTATTCTTTATTTCCACTTATACCACTAGCTAGACTAACATAATATGAACCGTAGAATAGGTATAGAACAATATATTTGAGATAGAGCAGTGCACTGAATAAGTAATAACATTTGATTAAATTTTTGATATATATTAAGATTAAATAACTGGTCATTAACTGATTATAAGTTTTGAATGATTACATGTAACAATGAGACAAAGATGAAAAATAAAGTGAGTTTTCAGAAATCATCACAAAGGCTGCAAAAGGCAATGCAAGCCCAAGCTTTTCACAAAGGTTATATATACCGAGTTTAGATAATACACCTGTAGAATGATATTCTAGTATATTTTTCCATAGTGTCATTTTTTTATTAGCAATACTCATCAATCATTAGTTTCTAGAATGTAGATTGTGTTAGTTGAGATGATGTCACACCCAGTCACAATGCTCACCTTTCACTTTATTGGCATCTTTTCTGTTTTTATACACATACATTTCTTATCAAAATTCATGATACAAATTTGTATGTATATGAAGTAACAGTTTAATGTAGCAGGAAAAACAATAACTGTTTACAGTACAGGCCTAAACTTTAACTTATAAAATATGGTAGGTTAATGTTTATATGAAGAGACATTTTAAATGAGACACAATGCTAAATCTCTCCCATTATATAACATGAATACAGTCTATTTCTTAACAGTGTAATGCAAACAGAACCGTAGACTCATGTATGTACATGTAAGTTGTATTCTTTCCAAAGTAATTCTTTAGTTATCTGGTTTATAAAAATCTCTTGGCCAAAATAAATTTTCTAACCATTGAAAAAAAATTATTTTTATGATAATGCATAGAAAATATATATATAAAGATTTGATCATTATTTCCAGAGGCAAAACAAAATGGCAGGTGTGATATTTGACAGGGTCAACCTGCAGGAGCTGAAGGATGGTATTGACAGCCTGTTTGTGGTGCTGGGAGAGATCATGGAGATGGCTCAGACAGATATCAAAGCTACAAGTGAGCCGCATCAGTTCCTTATGGATAAACTGCATGACGTAGTGAGTACTCTCCCCTCCCCCCACCGTCCATCTCTCCCTTCCACTCTTTCTCTCTTTCTCTCTCTCGCTTGTATAAGAGTTAACTCATCTAATTAATTAATTAATTAATTAATACTAATTATTATTAATTAATTTATTTATTTAATTTTTATATACCAACTGTATATACCAATTTTTTCTTACTACAGCATGAGGATCACTGGTCCAGTATCCGTACCAAATTCCTCAGAGAAGAGTACATAGGCTATCACCATGGCAACTTTACAAAAGAGGAGACTCATGACCCTGGCAAGATGTTTCTAGATTTTATCCAGCAGGTAGAGTTCTGTCGGGAGGCAGTGCATGAAAAGGTTGAAGAAGAGCTGAACAGAGAGAAAGAGCTCAAGATGGAAATCAGAAAGTTATTAGGTATTTTGTTTTAAACCAGGGGTGGATCCAGAGCTATTTTCTGACAGTCTACCAAATTATCTTTGTTGATCCATCCTCCATTTTTGACTGTCTTTGACAGAAAAAATAGATACCCGTCAGTGTAAACTTGAATATCTGACCATCTTCCTGAAGACCCAGAAGACGGCCTCAATCTGCCCCTGTTAAATGGTTAGGTCTTGCACAGTAAAATTTTGTGGGTATGGCAAATAGGGAGATTACATAGTAGGTGATTAAGGTGTCTCCCAGTGCCTATGTTTACCAGACACCTCCGAGGTTGCAGCACTGAGAGGGTTATTTTTTACATCAGTGTGAGCAAAGAAGGTGTGATTGTAATTCTGCAGTGCCATCATTTTGATCTTTTAAGATGAATGATACTGACTGTTTAAGCATCTTTTATGGAAAAGTTAACTTTTTAAAGCATGTCATAGGTTTTAGCTTAAAAAATGGTGCACAATATCAATGCTTGACATGCATGTACATGGCATATGTAGGCATGAACTATATACCATAGATATGAATACTCCCTGATCCTGATGTTGCTATTAATTGCCCAGGTTTCTTTTATACTGAGAATTTTCAGGGTTATAATGGAGAATAATTAACTCACTTTTTTCAGAAAAAAATGCAGAAGTTGAGGCAGAAATCAGAGACACAAAATGGAAGCACAGCCAAGATGTCATAGAACTCAAAGCTCTACAGAAAAAATATGAACACCTGGAAGAAGTGGTGAAGAAAAAGACAACGGATGTACAAGAGTAAGACAAAAATATTTGTAAATGTGAAACTTTATAAATTGAATTCACTTTCATTGTTTTTGATAGAAACAGTGCTAAAAATGCAGGGATATAAATTTGTTGTAAAATGTCCCATTTTAACATATGTACAGGTTGCAGAGAGCTGGAAATGTCCAATTATGGCAGAAAGAGAAGGGAAGACTTTTAGAAAAAGTCTCAGAAAGGTGGGTATTGCTAGTTTTCTCCATAATTGCAGTGATTTACAGGGCCTGGCTTCAAAACTGGGATATTTTCTCAGCTTAAATAAGAATAATAAAAATAGTTTATCAATTTTTGAGGATAGTAAAGCAAACAAATTTTTTTTATTAGATTTCAAGAATTTTAAAAATTGATAAAACTGTGGATTTTTCAAAAAAAAAAAAAAAAAAAGAAAGAAAGTAAGGATAACCCTGCAATTCAGGTATTTTAATGCATTTAAATCATACAATCATGTATTTGCAGATGAGAAACTTAAAAAAAAGTTATAGATGCATGATGCTGTTTGTTTTAGATTCTTTATTTTTTCAAATGAGTTCATATTAAGTCAGTATTTGTTTCATACTTATTTAGAGAAAAGAAGCTGGAGACAGAGATGATTGAACTAAAACGAGAAAATTCTTCATTGCTGAGACAGCTCCAGGTATTAAATTACTGTATCACACTCAATTTGATAGTTAATTCATAATGAATAATTTTAAGATAAGCCTGAAAAGAAATACATGTACATGTACTTACCATGGATGTAAAATTATAATGAAAGTAATAAAACAATTATATAAGAATTGAATGTTTTAAAATATGTTCAAGGTTGTATCATTTTCATTTATTATATACATTGGTATTCTGCAAAATTTTTAGCACTCTTTTCAAGACAATCTTATTAAGGCAATCAGTTGTTCAGGGATGAGATTTTTCCAACTATCAGTGGATTTCAAACATTTTAGAAGCCAAAAATAGCATTGGCCTAGGCAGCCCCCAGGACCCCACACCACATATTGACTTTTTTCACTGAATTCCCGTCTCATCCCTGAATGTTATAAAACCTTTCTAAAAGAAGACATATTTTACTTGCAGAATGCAGATGCAGAGTTTAAGAAATATAAAATGGCAGAAGACAAGAAGAAAGCGTCTGGTGGAGATGGTAAATGTTTGTCTTTAAAAGAGGGTTAAATTGAAGCTGCATCATCAGCTACAGTGGCGGAATGTCAGAGGGGTCCATGGCCCGTCCTTCGTTTTCTGAAAAATATCACACCAATGGTCCCCTCTTGAAATCACAATATTGACTAGCTGAAAGTGACATAGTTCTATAGCATACCCAATGGTACTGTTGGCCCACTTAAATACCAAAATTTTTCAGAGCCCTTCACTGGGCCACAAACTCCACGCCAAGGGAGGGGGGGGGGGCAGTAGGGTGTCGGCTTCGCACCCATGGACCCCCCTTCATATAATCCTGGATCTGCCCCTGAGCTAGATGACAGTGAAAAAGGGAGTCTCTGAAATCTTGTAATTTTATGTAACTGGGCCTATTTCTATCTAGAATTGGACTAATTATGGCAAAATAATATACTGTTAACATTGATATCGATTGATAGATAACCAGCCAAAGTTTAGCCTGTTTTTTAAACAATTTTATCTGTTTAGTATTTTATGACTAGTAATAACAGAGGCACTTGATCATAATTATGGACCTATGAAGGCTTTGAGAAGAGCATGTTTTACACATACTAGTACCTTGAGCATGTCCCAGTTTTCTGTTTTCTTCTTCTTGTTATTACTATTGTTTGTAAATTATTTAATGGAATTTCATACAATTTCAGAGGCAGAACAAGAAACTGAAGAATTGAAAAGACTTTTATTTACATTACAAAAGGTAACTTAATTGAAGATATTTTATACTTTTATTAACATAATGATTATACAGTGTTCATAATTGTGGTAGATGTGCAATGGTTGTGCATTCTGCTGTTTTGACATCCAATTTTTTGTGATAAATCGTGACATTTTTTTCTTACAGGATGTTCAGAGAACAGAGAGCGAACTTTTTAAGCAACAAAAACACATAATAGGGATTATACAAGGGTTCAAAAAAGATTTCAAGTAAGATATCTTTTTTAGAATTTTTTTAGAATTTTTTATAATTTTTGCCATCTTCAGTATTGCAGCTGTCATATTCAAATTTTAGTTTCATTATTATCATATGTCAATGAGATTTCTTTGGTTTTTGAAAAATTTTGAAAACCTTTTATCAGTTGATTTTATATGGTAACTAGCAATTATACATGTTGATGTTTAACTCAAATAGGTTTAAAAACTCCTTGTTTTGCAGAATAATTGTCTTCATTGTTTTCGACCTGTTAACATTATTTCAACAGTCTTGATATTCAGACATTGATAGATTCCCTTGTATCGTTTTCAGAGTTTTAATAGAGAGATTCATGTCAGAGAATGGCGGCATCCTTCCCGCAGATGTTCTTAGTCGCCGTGACATTGATGTGATGAGGCAGAGGCTGGAGAGAGTCATAAGTGCTACTGCTGAAGGGAGGCTGTCGTATCTGTTAGCTGAGTTACCAACACATTATATGGGAATCGACAGAGTAAGGGCCCATGCCCACAGACACTACAGGCCCATAGCCAGCAATTTCAGAGGGTGGTTCGTTTTCTTAAAAAATTGGACCTTTTACCATAATTTTCTCAAGTACATAGATTAAATTTTACGCAGAGTGGACCTTTTCCCAGCAAAAAGGGTGGTTCTTTCAAACCCACCGAACCCCCCCTGGCTACGGGCCTGCACTATCAGTGAATGTGGATCTACCTAACTCTGCAGGGATTCTTGCTGAGTGCAATCAACTTAATTGAATGACATGCCTCCTGGTTTTGAGTAGAATATAAAAAAAAAAAGAAAAAAAAACTGGTTGGAGGCATGTCATTCAGTTTAGTTGACTGCACTCAGCAAGAGTCCCCCACAGAGTTTGATTGATCTCTGTTGACAGATGGTGTCAATCGGAATGGAATCTAAGGTTATGCTATAGCGGGGGGTGGGGGCACAAAAGTCACATGCCCCCCCCCCACCCTTATCTTTGGCAGTACATGTACCCCTTCTCCCTCTAAAAAACACAGTATAACTAGTGAAGGAGATGACTTGAACTGAAAATATTTTGAGCTATTTTAATACATTGTTACCTAGATATCATTATATAATAATAATAATATAAAGATTTCACATTTTATCTATTTATCAGATTTTATCAACTACATGTAACTCTAACTTATAATTATTGTTGAAGATGATGACTGGACTTTTTTCTGGAAATTATATATATATTATTTGTATATAAATTAAAATTTATTTACAGGATATAAAAGTACCTACTAGTGTAAAAAAGATGACTCCTCAAGAAAGGTAAGTAATTGTGTTTCAGGTTGCTCTGTGTTTGCTAAGAATCTAAACTGCATACTGACATTGATATATTCAAGATTTCAGATGAATCAGATTGAATTTTCTGAGACAGTGGTGCCTTTTAAATTTTATGATAGTGAATAAAAAAATGCACAAGCATAGTGCAATTAATATATACCAGGGCATATTGTTACTGTTTAAAATGTTTGAAAAAATATATATAAAATTTACATAAAGAACATCTACAGGGTATGTTTAATTTGATTTACTGGGAACTTATTTACTGGAACATGTGTATGTATAAAAATCTTTCATGATGGCCATTGTAAAATGCATTAGCACCGGTATTATCATATATTTTTTGATGTGATGTAAGAAGGCATTATGAGAAGCATCGTAGTTTTTATTTAATTTTATATAATGTGAAGATTCATGGGAAGAACCGCCATGTACAAAGTAGTACTTGTTTCTAACCCAAATATATATCTCGTTTTTAGATTGAACCAACTCCTGGGAACAAAGGCTTCCATTTTGACTCCAGGTCTGAAGGCAGCGCAACCGCTGCCACCTATTGCCAAAAACAAAGAGGCAGAAAAAGACACAAAATCTGACAAATCCACCGAGCAAAGCAGGGACTCCGAGAACCCACAGTTGGTTGATCCAAAGACAGGAAAACTGAAGTCAATAACTGTGATCAAACATTTCCCCTTCATGGCCATGAGTTATGTAAGTACAGGCCCACCCTTATGGAAAATTTCCTATAGCTTCCTATAAGATGTCCTGTATAGCTATAATGATAATAATAATAGGAAATTGGTCCAAAATCCTATTGGGTCCTGCAGGACGTATGACCTACATAAGAATCCTATATGATGTGCAATAGAATTACTACAGAGTCTTAAAGGATTCCTATAGAGTCCCATCAAGTTCTGTATAGTGCCCTGCAGGAAATTTTCAAAATGGCAAGGGATGGTGGTAGGGGGGATTAATTATTGTGAATTATAACTTCAGGACAGATTATTTCAATAACATGTGACACTTGGTAAGAAAACATCATTGCGTGTTAACATTACTATTATTATTATTTTTTTTTTTTTTTGTTTTGTTTTGTTTCTAAGATTCAGGACCAGTGGGAACAATTCAAAAAGTATGATACAAGTGGTGATGGGGAGCTGGACATCACAGAGGTACAATATTAATACCGACACTTACCAATAAAATTCATTCAAATGTATTATTTCAATATTTTAAGATGCCCAATTCCTGAACATTTTCCCTTTTCATCTTTTTTCAATTTCATTTTTTCATCAACATTATTATTATTATTATCATTATTATTATTATTATTAATGAAAAGAGTCCAAATATCTGAATCACTTACTTGAAAATTTGTAACTTGCTTATTTTGAAATAAATATGGATAAATGTGATTTTATAAGGTGTTTTAAATTATTATTCAAGATTATAATACTATGCAGCAGCATTTCAGATAATAATAAAGGTACAAAACAAACAAACAAACAAAAACATTATAATTGCTTTCACCATGCCATCATATCTGCTTCCAAATGAATACTGTTTTATAATAAATCACTACTGTACATAATGATCCCGTCATATATCTTTTTTTAGACACACCCATGTTTTGTTTCACTAATTTATATTTTTTCTTTGATTCTTTCATTTTTTTGTGATACTTTCCTTTCTGTAGATTATGCAGGCCATTATGCCAATCGTGGGAGAGGATTTTACTGCAGAGCAAGTTCAGGTAAACCTTGACATTTTCATAGAAAAGATACTACTACTACAGCATGGACTCTTCCTAACTCTTACACTTTTACTGGACATATAGTGCAATGGCACTACAGTATATACTCTTCATGACTTAGATGTTTAGGGGTCACAAAACTTGTTTGAGATATGTGAAGTTTTGAGCTGGGCAATGGGCATATTAACTACAAAGAGGAATATATAATACATCAGAATCTTTGGAGAGAAATGATATTTTAAATTGTGATTTGTAATGTGCTGAGTTATGCGGATTCAAGCTGTATTTGGTACACAGGTAGTTCTCATCTTCAGATGTCTACACTATAATTCAGTTAACTATGCTAAGTAAATTAATACTAACAACTCAATTGTTTTTTTTTCTTAAATAAGCCCTTTAGGAAATTATTTGAACGATCGATAAACTTAGCAAACTTTTCACTGAACTTTACTAACAACTCAGTCATTTTGATTACATTAGCCTTTTAAGCAAACTATTTGAATGGCAGAAAAACTTATTTTGTATTTCAATGCAGGAAGCCATTCATGAAATTGACCTGGATCAAACCAACACAATTGACTTCTACGAATATCTGCTCATATCAAACCTACTGATCAATAAAACTGGTGAGTATAAATTTGAAAGAAGAAAAATTTGTGAAGCGAAGTGCAGAATATATCCATGAATTCATGTGAATTAACATATAATGATTAAATTAATAATTAATTTATGCAAAATCCACAGTAGAACTGCGTGGGGTCCATGGGCCCTAGCCTAAGACTAGAAATTGATTTTCTGCAGGGCCGTAGCCTGAGCAAACTGCCAGGGGGGGGGCAGTAAGTGGACACGAGGGGGCGAAGCCAAAAAGGGGGGGGGGTGTGGGTGGGGGTGTCCCCCTCCCACGGTGTGGAAAATTTTTAAAACTGTATGTATAATACTGCATTCTGGTGCATTTTAACTGTTATTTATTGCTCAATCAGAAGTCAGAAATTGCAATTATTATTTTTTTTTGCATCTCAAATCCCAGGGGGGGGCAGCTGCCCCCCCTGCCCCCCCGGAGGCTACGGCCCTGTTCTGCCGTGAGCTCTTAAAATGGATACCCCCCAGTTCATCTGATATAAGGATAACCAGGTCCCATCTTACAACTGCAGTTGCTTGTTAATTTGCATTTGTATCTTTTCTACTTCTAGGCAAAGCGCATATCTTTAGAAGTGGCATAGCACAGGAGAAAGCCAAGATAGTATCTAAAACATGCTCAATACAGTAGACTCTGATAGTAGTCTTTCTTTTCTTAAACAATCTTCACTTAACATAAAGGTAAAAGGACAAAGGTATTAGGTGATGATGAATAGGTAATGATGATAATAATTTAAAGATTAGTAAATTTAGTTAAATACATAGGATTTCCCCTACATTTTTTCTTCCCTCAAAAACGTGAAAAGGGTGTTGATCTACTACTAATTTAGGTTATTTTAGCAACTCACAAGCAGAAAAAGGAAAAAGCCATGTTTGCAAAATCTTGCTTAAGACGGTTTTGAGAAGTTCAGTTCTGTTTCATAAACGGTATTTTCTGAATGAGTGAGTGCAGTCAACATTTTCTTGAATCAAATGTGCTTCATATTGTATTTTTATAAGTAAACATTTAGTGTATATAAGAACTGGTGTTATACACTGCAGTCTCCATGACCAGACTGTTTATCTGTTTTGCTAGGTATTGTAAATACACGAAGATATGGGGGAAGATACAGCCTTTTTTTCACTACTGAGATGTGTATAATGAAGTCTTGTGTCATTTTTGTTGTCTGTTAATATGGTACAAAAATTTTGATTAATTTATTGTTTTGCTTCATAATGACTGTTGATTGATATATCAATGTGGCTTTTTGCAGTATTGCCATTTTTGTTTTTAGCTCTCCGGACTCGATTCAAATAAATGATTTCATATCAATCAATGACCGTTCTTTCCATTCATTTTCAAAAGAAAGTGTATCTACTAGAAGAATACATTTCAGTTGCAGATCCCTTTTTCTGAAAAAGTGGAGTGAATTTATCGGCGCGTCGTTTGGAGACTCAGGGTTGATGATGGTAGCGTTTTGAATATATCGAAGTCTTTGTTGACATACAGACCAAACGTAACATACTTCTTTGAAGAAAACAACTTTGGCGCCGCATAAGCCGTGCCTAATCTGTTGCATAATTTACATTTATCCTAAAATGCGGGTAGCCCCACATCACCTACACAATTAAATGGGGTTCCAGGAATTTGAAAACGTAGGAGGGGGAGGGAAGGGGGGGGGGCTAGGGTATTTTTGTTTGCTTTTTCAGCAAACATACAACAGAAGATGAGGGTAGTTTTCCAATAATAGTAACTCTATATAGTGCACAGGAATGGAAAATTACTTGATTGATTTTGTTTGGATATATATATATATATTTTTTTTTTTTTGAGGGGGGAGGGGGGGGGGGGAAGCGGGGAGGAAATAGCTAACAAAAGGGTATAATGAGAAGTTAAGGGAGGTGTACGTGCCTGATTTGCTTTCCCCAGGCTCCATCAATGCGACACAGTCTTCTTTTATTTGTCTATCGACATAATTTTACAGTTGAAATTAGCTGGTGTGGACAATTTTCTAGGGGAATTTTTGTTATAAAGTAATACGTATGAGATAAATCATGCAATAATCAACTTGTACGACCGATAAAAAGTTATATTGTCAATGAATCTCACACGCGCATATTATTGCATTGGTTTAATCGCTTAATGAAGCATACACATGGAATTTATCGCGAGATTATATGTTCCTTTTTAAACTCGACGTAATTATAAAAAACATTAAAGAACAGTGGCAGATTTAGCTGGGTGTCAGGGGTTTCCTGACCCCCTCCTTCGATTTCTGAAAGAAATCACATCAATGGTCCCCTCTCGAAATTAGAATTTTGACTTGCTGAATCATAGCTCTTAACTGTACCAATTGGCACCGTGCGCCCTCTAAGATATGGAGGCCATTCAACGGACCCTAAACCCCACGTGTGTGTGTGTGTGTGTGTGTGTGTGGGGGGGGGGGGGTTCGCATCTGTTTTCAAACTTTTTGATCTATCAAACTTATCTCATTCGTTTGAAATACGCATCATTTCATCGCTGAATTTCGACGAGGGTCCCATTGGGGTGGTAGTGATACAGTTCACGGGAAATAAAATCACCAATTCACAAATAACGATAAATTAAACTTCTTACATGTCTCACTGATAATGAGAGTCGAAAAACCTGAAAATCACGAATCACCGGGTATAATGACTTGGGGAAGAAAAAAAAAGGCGAAGAAGAAAAAGCGGCATTCACGAGTCACTGGAATGGGGTACTTCACAGATCATGCCAAATAATATGAACGTTTCACGCATCTCGGGAAATAAAAAGTGGCTTTCACGTGAAACGAAAATTCCCAATGGGACCCTCTTCGACGACTGGCGCAGAAAACATATTGAGATGGAGAGTTGGGTTGCGGCCTGCTACAAGAAGGACGTGCACACGTCATACAGACTGAATGTTTATGTCAAATGAGATGCCGATACAGGTGCAGCAGGGGATGGTTTCAAAGTCAGCGGCACGCGATTGGTTCCTGCGTCCGCTGCAGCTCTTTTGATTGGGTGCGTCGTCTACTGCCTACCACCAATCAAAAGCAGGCAGTCAACATCACCTTCAGATGTTCCATAAGATAGCTATCCGAGTGCCTTGAGAAGCATATCTCTGTGGGGTTCGACTGGAATCGGCTGCAACATTTTATTCAAAGTGCTTTCAGTTGGAAAGGAGTTTCGGTGAGGTTTATTTATCAGCGTCAGTTTACCATACACTCTTTGTAGCGTTTAGTAATTATAGTATTATAGTACTACCCACACAAGATATTCACAGATATGTTTTTGCATAAATAGACGGTCATTTCATTCTGTGCATTTTTCAAGAATTCCCTATAATATCTGTCACCCTGGTAGAGGGTAGTATATAGTACGAGGGGAATGTACATGTATATTATCAGTTTCCTTTCATTTGTATAGACTAGCTAGTCGGTTCATGTAGATTGGCACATTCTGCCCATTGTTCTTAACGCGTTTGATTATTGATTTCTTCTAGGTTATTTTATGTAGTTATATTTTCTTTTTATGGCATTGTAGGGAACATGTCCCCGGCATATGCTAGTTTGATTGCCGCGCTTTGTCTGGCAGTCTTTGCGATAGACGGCTCTCAAGCATTGTGTTGCCACTCAACAAAAGGCTTTTGCCTCAACTGCAAAAGGGTAATACTTGACTCTTGTATTTCATTTTCATGTGTTCATTTCAAGTGTTGTTTCATAACGATATAGACGTACAATCAGTATTGAAATTTTCTAAAACTTTGCACATGTTTTGATGCATGTTAAGTAAACATTTTGCTACAGGTTCTACATTGTGCAAAACATATCACTCGCCTATGCCAAATGCTAGTTAAGGATACTGACTAGGTTTATTCGTCAATGTTTTTTTTTCGTACATCCAATAATTCAGTAATGATTTTTGCTGATTAAAAAAACTGAAAAATATAGAATATTAGCATTTATATGTCTCGTTACTAAGCATAAGTATAGACTTTTTGGAATGTTTATCGTGAATTTAACACCTTTCTATTTTGAATTGAGAAAGCAATCGGTATGGGGCGTAACTCCTTCCCTAAATAAGATATTATGCAAAAGATTGGCATAGGTGACAACTAGTGTATGGGTTTTAATCCCTTGCCGTCATTTTAGTTTAAATGTTTTTAAGAGTTATGAGCCCGTAGTTTAAGATTTTCGTTTAACAAATACATTGTTTTGTTTAGCGTTTGTTTAGCGATAACATAAGGCTTTTAGGAAAATTCACTGGCATAGATTTGATGTACTACCTACTGTTATTAAATGGACGTTGGAACGGTGTTTGTGGGTGCTTAGGAAAAGGAAAGATTTCAGAAACCGATTTTGCCATTTGTACCCCAAAATTGGAACAATGACGCCATCAGTGTGATGTCGTTTGTGTAAATGCTATGGAATTAAATCGGTGAGCACTGAATATCTATAATATCCAGGAATTTGTATGTAAGACAGTATATAAAAAGTTTCTGGCTAACCCTGACAGTACTCTTAACCCGGGCAAGTAATATATTGTACATTTATTTTCTCACTGGCCATTATTTTTACTTGGGTCCGGCTGGTTTTTAGGCCTTGTAGACTTGTGTTTTAAACACAAAACAGTTCAAAGAAACATGTTTTAATATGTCCATTCCCTATACTTCAGTGGCAAGATTCGTGTGGAAAAGGGGGTTGTAACCCATATGGCTGCTACTGTGTTGGTGGGTGTTATGATAGCTGCAACCCAAAAATAGTTATGGGGTAAGTTATACCGATTTCTAACTACTGCGTATTTTGTTACGTACACTCCTGCTGCCAAATGATCATATTCATACGTTTGTTTTGTGGGAAAGACATATCGAAAAGGTTTTCACAATTTTTATTAAAATTCCGATAAAGCAGTCATTTTTGGAGGGAAAGAAGATGTCACTTTTATACCTTCATCGGAATCTCCTGGACTCTGGTGTTTTGGTATTTTCTTCCCCATTATTAAAACATACAGTCGTAAAATAACTTTCCTGTTTCAAATGCAGTGTGGATTACGTGTTTCTTTTGTAATTTCCTTTTTTTATCCTCACCGCGGCTGATGGGTAAACCGTTTTAGTTCTTATGATAAACCCAGCTTTTGTTTAACTATTGTAACCAATTGACAAGGTTAAAATTATCGTCACTGTGCGATCAGTATCAGAGAGAAATTCTTGCGATATTTTATTAACCCCTTTCCAAATTTATTGAATTTATCCTTCCAGGATCTTTAGTTGGAGGTGCATTTGCTACGCAGGTCGAAGGGATATCAGTGCCTCCAACGCCAATGCCGAACCGCACCCAGCCAATGTTTTTAAAACTATTGATACGGACAGGTGAGAGAGTTACCGGTATTATAATGTGAATTATTTGAAGTTTTGTAGAAGTCACTTTCTAGTACACGTGCTTGCTTGGGTTGTTTTCAATGAGCTGACAATACTGTGAATAGTTTTAATAGAACCATGTACCGGTAATATATGTTATCAAATATACATTATCTAATGGTACAATTCTGTAGCTTTAGGCCGAAGTGGAGCAAAGTGATCAAGTTGAAAGATATAAATGTAGAGATTTCTCATTTACACCATCAATGTTCCTTATGAAGGGGATTACTGATAATATAAATATAATTAATATGTCATCATATATGTACATTTTGGTTGTAGCTGTCCGTAACATAAGTAAATAGTGATAAGAGTTTAGTTATTTTACTTGCCGCAGTAAGATGAACTCTTAAGAGATTTATCCTTATCATGGTTATGTGTATATTTTACAAATAAATCTGACCATAAGTTTGTTATTATTATTATTTATTTATTTATTTATTTATTTTTTGTGAAAGTGGTGCGTTTCACATATTAAAATCCTTTTAGTGACGGCTACATTTCTATGGACGAGCATAAGAGAGCCTTAAGGGACACCGGTGTTGATCTCGAGGCAACATTTCATGCCATGGACGTGGAAAAGGATGGCAAGATTGCTCCCGGCGAGTTTGACTCCGATCTGAAATAGAGCATGTTACTGGTAGATGCAAGACGAACCAGTCTCGTAGCAAGAACAGCTTTATTCAGTTGTCTTTGATTTTTTAGATTTTTTCTTTTCTTTTGTTTTCAATCCTGCCAAAAATGATGCATTTTTGTGCAATTAAAAGTGCTTTCCAGAACAAAACTTTGAGGAATTTATTTTTCGTATTCTCTCAATAATCCACATTCCACAATTAAGGAAAAAGTGTTCAAATTTTCGGGAAACCAGAACGTTTGCTAA